TTTTCACAGAGCAATGAGCGATTTTTAAATCGACCCGCCCTAATACATATATTTCATGGTAGGAGAGCTTCTCAAACAACATAGAATCAATTTTTTCGATTCAAATTGTTGAAAAGTAATGAATATCTAAATCCCGGGACTAATGCCAGGATCCCGAGATTGTGACAACGCCATCCCTAAAATCCCGGGATCGGAAAAAGCCGAAAAATTTACATCCCTATAGAGCACACACGTATTTGGCTAAATTTTCCAATTGCAGACGATGTACTAGTAAGAAATATGCATTTTTATAAGCTTTTATTTAACTTGGTCATCCCGCGGAAATCGTGGAAATTTCCAAACGATTTTAAACGTAACTTCCTGACAAGTTAGAGACTTGAAATTTTCAGCATAATTCCAATCACGATGACAATGCAATTTAAAATATAAATAAATTCCCTATATGGTCCAGGGGTCTTGATTCAAAGGCGGTCAAAAAATAGTAAGATTTATGGCTAACAGAGCGTAGTTTGCCAAATAACGTAAAACCACTATAAAATTGTTAAAGCTGCCGGCGGTAGTGTAGCAAAGCTATTTGTGGCAAATTCTAGATATCAACCTAGTCTAGATATGAACCTCGTTGTAGGCATCATATCAAGGAGATACAATCAGAAGGCTCCAGATGTCGCCCCGCCAGAAGAATTATATATTGCGCCTAAATATATGCACCATTCACATACGCTACAGCGGAAATGGACGACACGCTATTTCTTTAAAAGAAATTAACTGCTGCTATAAGTACATATGTATGTTTATACAAAACGTAAGCAAACAACATTTTGCTTGCATAGTCTTCTGTTCTCTTTCATTGCAAGTTGAATTATTTTAATATCTACAATCAAAGGAATAAAATAAAGTGGTGTAACAAACGATTTTTTAGCAAGAAAATTTTGTCAAAAGTGCACTAAAATTAATAAAATAAAATAAGTTAAGGTCTCGTTAAAGTTACTAAAAGCCATTTAGTGAAAGGAGTTATTCAAACTCGAATGAAAATTACTAACAATTTGTACTAATTTACTTCGTTTTTAAAAAAGCTTGTCGGCGAATTCAGCGTACATGCATAATTGGTTAGATATGTATATGTATGTATGCAGATATTTAAATGCCGGTTAGCTATTCGCTCGACAAACTTTTTTAAAAACGAAGTAAATTAGTATAAATTGTTAGTAAAATTTCAAAATCAAATGTTATCAAAACAAATTCTATGGTACTGAGAAATATTATTTTCTAACTTTTAGTCCATTTATAAAAGCGTGGTATATTAAAAAGTTTTTATTAACCGACTTCCAAAAACGGAGGAGGTTATCAGTTCGTATGAATATTTTTTTTTTTGTATGTGTGTTGCCGCATAACTTTGGACCACGTCAACCGATTTCGATAATTCTTTTCGCATAGGAAAGGTAGTGTCTCAGAGATGGTCCCATACTAATCTGGTTTAGATCCGATCATTGGATCATGAAATATGTATATATATATATTTTTTTTTAAGTCGTTTTTTTTTGCTACAAATTACTTGTTTTATTTTATTTATTTCCTACTTTTTATATTTTTTAGCCTTGTCTGTATACAATTTTGCAATAGATATTAAAATATTTCCACTTGCAGTGACTATGCAAGCAAAATGTTTTGTGCTCACGTTTAGTATATACATACATATGTACATGCATACATATAGGTGCACTTAATTTTAAAGAAATGGTATGCCGTCCATTTCCGCTGTAACGTATGTAGTGGATATTTTTAGGCGCAATCTTTAACTTCTTCTGGCGTGGCGACATCTACCTCTACAGTCTTCTAGTTGTATGTCTTTGATATGATACCTACGATGAGGTTGATGTCTAGACTACACTGAGGGCAATAATGTATAGTAAAAATGAATACTTTATATTTGATTGGCGTTTAAAAATGTTGGTGTTAATAATAATATTTTCATACAAAAATTTATTACGCACGTATTTGACTGTTTACATCTGAGTATGCATATGTAAGTGTACATACGATATTTATATGTGTATTTTCATATTTTTAACGATTTAATAATAATAATAATAGATTGGCGCTTTCACATATGTTAGTGTTTGGCCGAGCTTCTCCTCCGATTTGTGCCGTCCGCCTTGATGTTGTCACACAAAGGGGTGGGACCTACTGTTTTACGCCGACTCCGAACGGCGATTGTATTTTTATGAGAAGCTGTTTTTCATGGCAGAAATACACTCGGAGGTTTGCCATTGCCTGCCGAGAGACGACCGCTGTTAAGAAAAAACCTTTTTTCTTTTTTTTTCGATGTTGCTTTGACCAGGGCTTGATCCCACGCGCAGCGGAGTGGAAGCGTGCTCTGCTTACCACTACACCACAGCGGCCGGCGATTTAGTTATCGATGTTTTGTATCGATATTGTTATCGATTAGGGTATCCATACTTTTATCGGTTTTTTATAGATTTGGTTGTTGATTTTTATCGATATTTTTATCGATTTGGTTATCGATATTTTTATCGATTTTGTTATCGATATTTTTATCGATTTTGTTATCGATATTGCTATCGACTTTGATATAGATATTTTTATTGATAATTTTATCGGTTATGTTTTTGATATTTTTATGGATGGTACTATCGATTTTGTTATCGATACACATGAAGTGGCATCTTATGACAGAACATCAAATAATATGACTTGTATATTGAATGGTTTTCTAACTGAATATGAGCTCCTACTACAATTACACTGGTCTACAAGGGTTTTGCGAATAAGACGGGACCTGGTGTTTCTGAACGGATTATTCGTGCTGAACACGAATCCGGGGTCAAAAATGTCCCATCACGTCAC